CCTTTTGGAGAGTGGTGTCTCCTAGATTGGTTAGGTGTCACTTGGGAGCCTCCGTCAAGATTGTGGAGTTGAACCAAGGAATTTGTACGGGCAAGGAGATCGCCTACTTCGTGAAGATCTACCCTAGTGAGGCAAGTCCTTCGTGGGCGATGGCCATGGTGGGATAGACAAGGTTGCTTCTTCGTGGACCCTTCGTGGGTGGAGCCCTCCGTGGACTCGAGCAACCGTTACCCTTTGTGGGTTGAAGTCTCCATCAACATGGATGTACGATAGCACCACCTATCAGAACCACGCCAAAAATCTCTGTGTCTCTAATTGCGTTCGCACACTCAAATCCCATCCCTTTACATTCTTGCAACTTGCATGATTTACTTTCTGCTACTTATATACTCGTATCATGCTTGCTTGATATGTATTGTGAATGTTTGAACTTGTGCTAAAACTCCACTTTAACTTAAAGAATTTAAAAACTGCAACTTTTCTTGCTAAGAGTCTATTCACCCCCCCTCTAGACACCTCTTCTCGATCCTTTCACTTGGGCATGAGTCTGAAATTTAAATTTCAGCTCTTGGAACATCTTATATGCTCCGTGGCATTCAAAACATTTTTGAAGTCCCGGTTCTAAGACGTAAAGCATGGTGCACTAAACTATCAAGTAGTTATCATACCGAGCTTTGCCAAATGTTCATAAAGTCTGCATCTGCTCTTGCAATAGATCTGTCACCTAGCGGTGCATCAAGGACATAATTCTTCTGTGCAGCAATGAGGATAATGCTCAGATCACGGACCCAGTCTGCATCATTGCTACTATCATCTTTCAACTTATTTTCTCTAGGAACATATCAAAAATAAACGGGGACATCGCAAGCTATTGATCTACAACATAGATATGCAAATACTATCAGGACTAAGTTCATGATAAATTAAAGTTCAATTAATCATATTACTTAAGAACTCCCACTTAGATAGACATCCCTCTAATCATCTAAATGATCACGTGATTCATATCAACTAAACCATGTCCGATCATCACATGAGATGGAGTAGTTTTCAATGGTGAACATCACTATGTTGATCATATCTACTATATGATTCACGCTCGACCTTTCGGTCTTAGTGTTCCGAGGCCATATCTACATATGCTAGGCTCGTCAAGTTTAACCCGAGTATTCTGCATGTGCAAAACTGGCTCGCACCCATTGTATGTGAACGTAGAGCTTATCACACCCGATCATCACGTGGTGTCTCGGCACGACGAACTGTCGCAACGGTGCATACTCAGGGAGAACAATTGTACCTTGAAATTTAGTGAGAGATCAACTTATAATGCTACCGCCGTACTAAGCAAAATAAGATGTATCGGTGTCAAAACCGGCGGATCTCGGGTAGGGGGTCCCGAACTGTACGTCTAGGCGGATTGTAACAGGAGACAAGGGACACGATGTTTTTACCCAGGTTCGGACCCTCTCGATGGAGGTAAAACCCTACTCCTGCTTGATTAATATTGATGATATGGGTAGTACAAGAGTAGATCTACCACGAGATCAAGGAGGCTAAACCCTAGAAGCTAGCCTATGGTATGATTGTTGTATGATGAAGTTGTCCTACGGACTAGAACCCTCCGGTTTATATAGACACCGGATAGGGTTAGGGTTACGCAGAGTCGGTTACAATGGTAGGAGATCTTGAATATCTGCATCACCAAGCTTGCCTTCCACGCCAAGGAAAGTCCCATCCGGACACGGGACAAAGTCTTCAATCTTGTATCTCCATAGTCCTGGAGTCTGGCTGAAGGTATAGTCCGGCTACCCGAACACCCCCTAATCCAGGACTCCCTCAAGATGCATAAAGGATAAAAATCACATGAAATCAATATAAGTGATATGATATGGCCATCATCATCTTGTGCCTTTGATCTCCATCTCCAAAGCACCGTCATGATCACCATCGTCACCGGCTTGACACCTTGATCTCCATCGAAGCATCGTTATCGTCTCGCCAACTATTGTTACTACGACTATCGCTACCACTTAGTGATAAAGTAAAGCAATTACATGGCAATTGCATTTCATACAATAAAGCAACAACCATATGGCTCCTGCCAGTTGCCGATAACTGTTACAAAACATGATCATCTCATACAACAATTTATATATCATCACGTCTTGACCATATCACATCACAACAAGCCCTGCAAAAACAAGTTAGATGTCCTCTACTTTGTTGTTGCAAGTTTTACATGGCTGCTACGGGCTTCTAGCAAGAACCGTTCTTACCTACGCATCAAAACCACAACAATTTTTCGTCAAGTGTGTTGTTTTAACCTTCAACAAGGATTGGGCGTAGTCACACTCGATTCAACTAAAGTTGGAGAAACAGACACCCACTAGCCACCTGTGTGCGAAGCATGGCAGTAGAACCAGTCTCATGAACACGGTCATGTAATGTCGGTCTGGGCCGCTTCATCCAACAATACGCTAAATCGAAGTATGACATGTTGGTAAGCAGTATGACTATTATCGCACACAACTCTTTGTGTTCTACTCGTGCATATAACATCTACGCATAGACCTGGCTCGGATGCCACTGTTGGGAAATGTAGTATTTCAAAACTTTCCTACGATCACGCAAGATCTATCTAGGAGAAGCATAGCAATGAGCGGGGAGAGTGTGTCCACGTACCCTCGTAAACTGAAAGCGGAAGCGTTTAGTAACGCTGTTGATGTAGTCGAACGTCTTCGTGATCCAACCGATCAAGTACCGAACGCACGACACCTCCGCGATCTGCACACGTTCAGCTCGGTGACGTCCCTCGAACTCTAGATCCAGCTGAGGCCGAGGGAGAGTTTCGTCAGCACGACGGCATGGTGACGGTGATGATGAAGTTACCGACACAGGGCTTCGCCTAAGCACTACGACAATGTGACCGAGGTGTAAACTGTGGAGGGGGGCACCGCACACGGCTAAGAGATCAACTTGTGTGTCTATGGGGTGCCACCCTCCCCCGTATATAAATGAGTGGAGGAGGGGGCCAGCCGGCCTCATGGGTTGCGCCCCAAGGGGGGGAATCCTACTCCTACTAGGAGTAGGTTCCCCCCTTTCCTAGTCCAACTAGGAAGGGAAGGAAAGGGAAGAGGGAGAGAAGGAAAGGGGGGCGCCCCCCCTCCCAATTCGGATTGGGCTTGGGGGGCCGCACCCCTCCATTGGACCGTCTCCTCCTCTCTTCCACTAAAGCCCATGAAGGCCCATTAACCCCCCGGGGGTTCCGGTAACCCTCGGTACTCCAAAAAATGTCCGAACTTATACGAAACCTTTCCGGTGTCCAAACATAACCTTCCAATATATCAATCTTTATGTATCGACCATTTCGAGACTCCTCGTCATGTCCGTGATCACATTCGGGACTCCGAACAACCTTCGGTACATTAAATCACATAACTCACAATACATATCATCATCGAACGTTAAGCGTGTGGACCCTACGGGTTCGAGTACTATGTAGACATGACCGAGACTCATCTCCGGTGAATAACCAATAGCGGAACCTGGATGCTCATATTGGTTCCTACATATTCTACGAAGATCTTTATCGGTCAAACTGCATAACAACATACGTTGTTCCCTTTGTCATCGGTATGTTACTTGCCCGAGATTCGACCATCGGTATCATCATACCTAGTTCAATCTCGTTACCGGCAAGTCTCTTTGCTCGTTCCGTAATGCATCATCCCGTAACTAACTCATTAGTCATATTGCTTGCAAGGCTTATAGTGATGTGCATTACCGAGAGGGCCCAGAGATACCTCTCCGACAATCGGAGTGACAAATCCTAATCTCGATCTATGCCAACTCAACAAACACCATCGGAGACACCTGTAGAGCATCTTTTTAATCACCCAGTTATGTTGTGACGTTTGATAGCATACTAAGTGTTTCTCCGGTATTCGGGAGTTGCATAATCTCATAGTCATAGGAACATGTATAAGTCATGAAGAAAGCAATAGCAATAAATTAAACGATCATAGTGCTAAGCTAATGGATGTGTCTTGTCCATCTCATCATTCTCTAATGATGTGATCCCGTCATCAAATGACAACACATGTCTATGGTCAGGAAACTTAACCATCTTTGATTAACGAGGTAGTCAAGTAGAGGCATACTAGGGGCACTCTGTTTGTCTATGTATTCACACATGTACTAAATTTCTGGTTAATACAATTCTAGCATGAATAATAAACATTTATCATGATATAAGGAAATATAAATAACAACTTTATTATTGCCTCTAGGGCATATTTCCTTCCTGCGTGACACCGTCCAATTGACGACTCGCATACTATCCTTCCTTGAACTCAATTCTGCAACAGGAGCTATGCTTCTGAAACATACGCGGTGTTGCAATGCTTTATGACGGGTCTACGTTTTGCAAAAAACTCTTCTTGTGAAGTTTTTGTGTAACAAGACCTTAGTTACAAGAAAAAATGCAACAAAACTCAGTTGCAAAAAAATGCAACAAAATTGTTGTTGTAAAAATATTTTGCAACAAGACCTGTGTTGCAGAAATAATTCCGCAACAAGACCCGTGTTGCGGTAGTGGAGACGCGTTCGGCCGATGCGGTAAATCTGACGGCTCGCGACCCGGCTGATATTTTAAAAAGATCCGCTGGCTGACGCGTAGCACGCCCAATAAATAAATGTACGAGAAAAAGAAAAACTCTCATGTTGCGACAAGTGGTGCACATGTAGTGTGACACTTCTCGCAAGCTAAGAACGTGTGAGTGACCTTCGGAAGGCGTTCTGTTTAATATTTTTTTTAGAAGTGAGTTCTGTTTAATTAGTGATTTCTCTGTTTTATAGCCCATAAATAGAAATTAATTCTGGATCTTTTTTAAAGGAAGCTAATCGTGCCGTGCCGGGCTGGCCCGTGTACCGCTACCTCAGGCCCAAGCACGTCCCGTGCCGGTCCGCCAAGCACGACCTGTTGGGCCAGCTTTACTCCGATGGGAAGCACCCCCACCCTCTCCTTTTTTTTTTATGAAGGGACCCCTCCCTTATTTTTAGCGTCCGGGTTAAGTGTTTCCTTTTGTCTGGACGGAGTAGGAGGGAAGAGTCACGTTGTACTCATACCCGGCGTGTTCTCCCCAGATCCCGATCTGCGCTGTCGATTGTTCTCGCCGTCGCCGCCTCCGCCGCCGTCGCCTCCCATGTCGAGGCCGCCGCCCCCTTTCACGCCGCAAAACCCTACCCCCGCCCCCAACCCTGGGGGTCCCGCCTCCACTCTCCCGGCTTCCTTCTCCAACCTCCAGATCTCGCGCGCTCCACCGCCATCTGCTTCCGCCGGGCCGCCGCCAGGGGATGGCCCCGTGCCGTCGTCGATCCGAGGTCCGCAGGCACCCCCTCCTGGCGCCCGCCCGTTCCCTGGCAGTCCGCCGCCGCCGTTGCAGCCGGGCTCGCTCTTCGCCCGGCCTGCGGCGCCGGTCCAGCAGTCCCCTCCCTTTGGCGGTCCACCCGCGGCGTCGCTCCAGCAGTCCCCTCCCTTTGGCGGCCCACCCGCTGCGCAGCCGTTGCAGCCGCAGCAGAGATCTCCCTTCAACGGCCCGCCGTCCGTGCTGCCGCTGCAGGTGCAGCGAGCACCGTTCGGAGGTCCGCCTGGGGCACCCCAGGCTCGTCCGTTCGGTGGCCCACCTGCTGCGGTGTCGCAGCCTGCTCCTTTCGGTGGCTCTTCTGTAGCAACAGCTCAATCAGCTCCGTATTCAGCAGGTCCGCCACCACCGTTTGGCGGGCCGCCTGGGGCAGTGCCTCCTCCGGCGTACTCCGGAGGGAAGATCCCCCCGTTTGGGGCTGCACCGGCGCCCTTGCAGCAGGGTCCTTATGGTGGGCCTCCCCAGTTTGGGGGGCAGAGACCAGGATTGCAGCCTCCGCCATTTGGGGCTCAGACTGCTCCTGCATCTCAGCCACCGCCGTTCATGGGGGTTCCTGGGGCTAATGCACCATCATTTGGGCCTCCAGGGTGGCAAGGGCAGGCACGGCCAGGAGCCGTGAGAATGCCTGGTGGCATGCCGCCTAATGCACTAGGCCACGGGATGCCGTCCACGCCCACCATGCCATACTCTCCCCATGCTGGAGCCCAGGTCTCTACGCCATCCAACATTGACCCTAATCAGATTCCGCGTCCTATCGCCGAGACATCAGTCATCATTTTTGAGACCCGGCAAGGTGGCCAAGCAGCAGTTCCACCGGTATGTCTATATGTAACTAGAAATATCTGTGTCTGCTCTGACAATACTGATTCCAGATGTTTCTCAATAACTATACTTGTTAATGTTGTCAAACAGCATTGGTGCTGATTGTAGGCTGCATCAAGTGAATTTAGATGTTTCTCAATAACTTTACTGGCTAATTTCATCTAACAGCATTGCTGCTGATTGTAGGCTGCATCAAGTGAATTTATTGTGAAGGACACCGGCAACTGCAGTCCCCGTTTGATGCGGTGCACCTTGAATCAGGTTCGATTTGTTTCAGTACTCTGTTCTCTCCTTTGATCACCATAACTTCCCTTTCTAAACTGCTTCGTTTCCCTGTGCTGTTAGATACCATGTACAGGTGATCTCTTGACAACATCAGCAATGCCATTGGCTTTAATGGTGCAACCTTTTGCTCTTCCTCATCCTTCTGAGGAGGCTATCCAGCTCGTGGATTTTGGGGAGATGGGCCCTGTCAGGTGTTCTCGCTGCAAAGCATACATAAATCCTTTCATGAGATTTGTTGATCAAGGGAAAATTTTCATCTGCAACTTATGTGGATTTAGCAATGATACTCCAAGGGAGTACTTGTGCAACTTAGGGCCTGATGGTAGGCGACGTGATGCTGATGATAGGCCTGAGTTATGCAGAGGAACAGTTGAGTTCATTGCCACCAAGGAATTTCTGGTCCGGGAACCAATGCCAGCTGTGTATTTCTTCCTTGTTGATGTCTCCATGAATGCCGTACAGACTGGTGTAACTGCTGCGTCTTGCAGTGCAATATCCCAGGTTCTTTCTGATCTTCCTGAAGGTCCCCGAACGATGGTTGGAATTGCGACATTTGATTCAACTATTCACTTCTATAGTCTGAAAAATGCTCGACAACAGCCTTTGATGTTTATCGTTCCCGACGTCCAAGATGTGTATACTCCACTTCAGATGGACTTAATTCTCCCAGTTTCCGAGTGCCGTGATAGTTTGGAGCAACTTCTGGAGAGCATCCCCAGCATGTTTGAGAACAATAGGGTTGCTGATTCAGCATTTGGGGCAGCTATGAAGGCAGGTTTCTTAGCTATGAAGCCCACTGGTGGAAAGTTGCTTGTGTTTCAGTCAGTGCTACCATCAGTCGGGACTGGCTCATTATCTGCAAGGGAAACTGATGCTAGATCTAATATTTCGACTGGAGATAAGGAAGCACATAAGCTCCTGCAGCCTGTTGATAAGACACTCAAGACAATGGCACTAGAATTTGCTGAGTATCAAGTTTGTGTGGATGTGTTCCTTGCCACACAGTCATACACAGATATTGCTTCGATATCAGTTGTTCCCAGTACCACTGGTGGCAGGGTTTACTACTACTTCCCATTTTCTGCTGTTTCTGATCCAGCCAAACTCTTCAATGATCTCAGATGGAATATCACTAAACCCCAGGGATTTGAGGCTGTCATGCGTGTCAGGTGCAGTCAGGGCCTTCAAGTTCAAGACTATTCTGGCAACTTCTGCAAGCGTGTTCCTACTGATATTGATTTGCCTGCGATTGACTCCGACAAAACCATAATGGTTACCTTCAAGCATGATGATAAGTTTCAGGAGAACACAGAATGTGGTTTTCAGTGCGCACTTCTTTACACCACGGTATATGGGCAAAGAAGGATAAGGGTCATAAATATTTCACTTCCATGCACAAGCACACTCAACAATCTTTTCCGATATGCTGATCAGGAAGCACAGTTTACTTATGTTGTTAAGCAAGCTGCAAATGGCATTCCATCAAGTTCTCTGTCCCAAGTTAGGGACCAGGTGATAAGTACCTGCATCAATATTCTCCAGTCCTACCGAAAACATTGTGCATCTGTAAGTTCTTCTGGACAGTTAATTCTTCCGGAGGCTTTAAAACTTCTGCCTTTGTATACTCTGGCCTTGATTAAAAGCATAGGACTGAGGAATGATGGGAGAGTAGACGATCGGTCCTATTGGGTCTCTGTTGTCTCCTCAGTTTCTGTGTTATTAGCCATTCCATTGGTGTTTCCTAGGATGATTGCTCTCCATGATCTTACATCAAGGGATGATGAGGATTCCCTTATTCCAAATCCCCTTACTCTCAATAGTGAGAATATACAGGATGATGGGATTTATTTATTGGAAAATGGCGAGGATGGTTTTATTTATGTTGGAAATGCGGTGAACCCTGCCACCCTGGAGCAAATATTTGGTTTCTCATCTTTGGCTGGTGCACCAAACCTGTTGGCATTGGAGCAATTTGATAATGCATTGTCCAGGAAAGTAAATGAAGTTGTGAACGAAATAAGGCGACAGAGATGCTCTTACTTGAGACTGAGACTGTGCCGAAAGGGCGACCCATCTGGAGATTTCTTCCGTTCGCTGCTGGTCGAGGACAAAACACCTGGTGGCCTTTCCTATGTGGAGTTCCTCGTGCATGTTCACAGGCAAATCCAGAGCAAGATGACCTGAGGTGGCCCGCTTCATTGGTGTGATATTTTGGTTGGTAGAGATCAAGAAGAAATTGATTCCCGCATGTGGGTATACAAAGATTACATGGACCGTTTTTCTTTCTGAAAAAAGAGTTGTACTCGTACTTAATTACCCTGTTTGTACTGAGATTTTCATATAAAGGCTTCTTCGTGGTATGGCTTGCAGTGCTGTTTTTATCCCTACACGCATGCAGTTGTTAGATAAAGCGTATATATTTGGTATGGTTTCCTTGTCTACTCGAGAGACTTTTCTTGGTCTTCTACAGGCTACAGCCCCACAGCTCATTAATCCTGTATCCATGGTGTATCATGGGAACATGGAGTGGCTGGAAGATCATTTTGGTAGTTCTTACAATAGTGAATACATAAAACTCACGCTGTCAGAACTTTATTTTTCTGTTCAGAAGACATAAGTTGACTATCTTCCACAGCTTGCCTTGGGTTTTGTGTTGGCCAGGGAGGTTTGCCACTCTGCCCCCTCTCGTTGCGGCCTGGGTCAACTGGTCCCCGCCGCTGATTCAACCATCGTGGAGTGGTGGCTGGAAAGCCGTGCACTGATTCTAAAGCACAGCGGAAAGGTTCCCATTCCCTTGCTCCTCAACGTTTGGATGCTTTGGAACCAGTGAAACAGCTGCGTCTTCCAGCGCTCGAGGGTCGTTGCCCGTGAGCATCAAAAGCTTCGAGCTATACTATGGTAGATCTCCGGTGCGTAGGGATTGTCTGATATTTGGAGATGGGGCTCATGTGTCTCTAGGTAGGGTGTGGTCGTGTTCTCCATCGGTGTTTGCTTGCCCACCGTCTATCACTGTGGTGCGGTTTGTAACCGTGGCATGCTGTAAAATCATAGTTTAAAAAACCAAACCGGTGAGATTGTCGGTTCAGGTTTTTACATGCCATAGAATCATAGTTTAAAGAGATTGTCAGTTCAAGTTTTTACACGCCGGTTCGTTGGTTCAATTGCTGGTTTTTTAAGGCGTAAAATAAAACAATTTTTATAATAACATAGCGGAAAAACAATTCGAAAGAGTTGTGTTCCTTCAATTAGACGTCAACATGGTCTTGACGAGTTACTTATTGGCCTGAATTTATGCTTCGGCCTCACCAGTAATTGAATCCTGATGCACGCACCCTATTTTTCTAGATCAGTTGTACATTCACTTGTTTTCTAGTCTGGTTTTAATTAAAAAACCGCCTGGTTTAGCCCGGTTCAATCTGTTTTCTCTGGTCCATTGCAAGAACGGTCTTTTTGGCTTAAAAGACCGGCAGGGTGCGCGGTTCTGGTTTTTTCTTGTCGGACCATCGGTCCAGTCCGGTCTTTTAAACTATGCTCAGAATACTTTGCATTCTCTTTCTTTCTTCTAATACATCGACACACAAAGCTTTTGTGAACACTCTGCGTGTTTGAAAAAAATGTAGAGTAAATTTCCTGGTGAGCTATACTACACTTCGGTGGCTTCCAGCCCGTAGCAGAGTCTATGCGGATGTGGTGGAAGCGGAAGACGTTGCATGATACGGTGCCCCATGCATCAAACTCGTGCGGGTCGTTTTGGTGGCGTGACGTGATTTGTGCAGTTTTGGGTCAGTCCGACCTGATTATACAACCGAGAGGTTCTGCCTGGACCATACCTCCAGATAGTACAAAGTCTTTAGAAAAATTTCTACTTTATGCACTCTCTGGCATCCCTTTGTGTGACTTGTGCACTTATCTTTTGCTACCCTATCCATGACAATTCATAGGTTGGCTGGAAGAAAAGGGTAAGGTAGAAGCTAGTGGAAATTGGTAGCGCTCCGTCAAAATAACCTATTGCCTATGGAACTTTGCAAAGGAAGAAATTGGTAAAAGTGGGAATGGCAAATCCTTTTTTTTTTGAAAAATAACTGAGACTTTATTCATTAGAGATTAGAAGTACATCGTTTGTGAGGATCATTACAATTTCATTTAAGGGTTCCTCAAACCAATCAGCAGTCAAAGAAAATCTAGCTAATCTACCAAGCTCATAAGCTACTTTATTTCCTTCTCTATTACAATGTCCGAATCTAGTAGTAACGAAATCACAGGCGTAATGAAAACAATCGTCGAAAATTGCCGCCGCCGCACCCGCCGATTGTCCTTCATCCTGCATAGTTTCAATCACCTCCAGGTTATCCGAGTTAATAATAAGGTGATTACATCTTGCCTTTTGCGCCAGTGATAAACCAAATTTGAGAGCTAAGGCTTCCCCCATTAACACATCTGTGCAATGGTCAACCTTCCCATTTCCTCCCGTAATGAATCCGCCTCTGTCGTCTCTCAGGACCGCCCCCATCGTGCCCCTAAGCAAGTCGTGGTCAAAAGAAGCATCAACGTTAAGTTTCACAAAACCTCTGGGGGCCACAACCCCCCCTTTTTTATTAGAGGCATTGGGCGATAAAGCATTTACAAAGTTTGTGGTAAGGGCTGGAACCCCCATTGAAATTTGAGTTGCATTTTGCGTTTTCTCCTTGTGCACCAATTTTCGTCTTTCCCACCATAGATACCATGCTGAGACAGCAATCATCTCACACATATTTTTGTAGCCCATCAACCACAATTATTGGTCTGGAAGAAGTAGTAGATATTCCAACATTGCCTCGCCAGCACGATCGACTTCGCAAGCTTTATCAATAATGTCATCCAACCCCAGCCTTTTCCAAACCTCCTTTGCTTTACTGCACCGAAACAACATATGCTTTGTACTACCTCCGTTCGGAAATACTTGTCCAACGAATGGATGTATCCAGATGTATTTTAGTTCTAGATACATTCATTTGTATACATTTCCACGACAAGTATTTCCGGACGGAGGGATTATCTTCTAAACCCCCAGAGCAAGTAGGGCAAATGGGCGAGACCTTCATATGTTTGTTAGCGAGCGTAACCCGACATGGGAATGTTCCATGAAGCGTATGCCATATAAATATTTTAACTTTTGCCAGACAAGCTAACTTCCATATCTTACTCCAAACGGGGTTAACTGCGGTTCACCCCATTCCATTAGAGTATCTTAATTTGCTGCCATACTGATGATCCCACTCGACAGAGTAAGCTGATCGAACCAAGAACATACCATTTTTCGTATAACTCCAAGCAATGAAATCTGGCATATCATGTTGCGAGAGTGGAATTGAAAGAATCTGTTGTACATCGATGGGCCACATAATTTGTCTAATCAAATCTTCATCCCAGTTATTGGAAACAGGATCAATGAGGTCACCTACCTTAGTTAACAGTTGTCCCGCCTTAGGCGTTAAACTTTCCTATTGGCACAACTTGGGATCCAGACGTCTTTCCAAATATTGATGTTTTGTCCATTCCCCACTTGCCAAATATAACCACATTTCAGGGAATTTGTGCCTGCCATAATGCTTTGCCAAGTAAAAATGATCCCTTCCTTAGCTTGGAGTTCAACAAATCACCATCGGGGTAGTACTTAGCCCTTAGGATAGAAGCACACAAGGAATCAGGATTATCCAAAAGACGCCACGCCTGTTTGGCGAGCAATGCTAGGTTGAAAGAGTGAATATCATGGAATCTCATTCCTCCTTGATTTTTAGGTACACACATTTTCCATGTAACGCCCCGAGACCGATGCGCTAGGTGTCTTCCAGTTATTCGCTGTTGTTTCCTTGTCATTCACTTGCGTGTTGCATCTTGCCATGTCATCATCCGCATTGCATATGCATATTTTTCAAAACTTGCATTCGTCCGGGTCTCTCAGTTCTTTCCGTTGTCCGTTCTGAGCCCAGACACACTTGCACGCGCCCGCGGCATGTCCGAAATAGTATTTTATAAGTAGCCGGTAAATGTTCTCGGAATGGGTTGGAAGTTGGCATGCGGCGTTGTTATGTTGTAGGTAGGCCGCCTGCCAAGTTTCATCGCATTAGGAGTTCGTTTGACACCCCAACGGATAACTATAGCGGCAGTATAACCGGTTTATCGTTGGACGTTTTCGGTCTCCGGAAACCTTGCCGGGCTGCATTTCCATCTCTCTCCTCTCAGCCCAACCCACTCTCCACATCCCACCTAACCCAGCTAAACCCCTTCTCTTGATCGGAATCGTCGGATCGCGATCGGATGCACCGAAACGCTCCAAAATCCCCCTAACCTAGCCCCCCTTGTTATATATAGCAAGTCTTCCCCTCCATTTTTTGGCAAACCCTACCCCTCCTAGCCTCCTCCCAACTCCAACTGTCGCATCTTCCTCGAAATCCGCGCCCAACCGCTGCCCCGCCGCCATTTGTCACCAGCGCCGTCGCTTCCCTCCTCAAATTCCAGTCGGACACCTCGTCCCTGCAACTTGGCGCGTAGCCATTGGTTGCGCCGCACCTAGCGCCGCCCGTGGCCAATCGGGCGATGCCACATGCCCTCCCCAGCGCCTCCCACAACCGCTAGGCCCGCCGAGCCCGCGTCAAGCCCGTCCGAGCCCATTTGGGCCCGGAACCGTGCCACCGCCCGCAGCGCAGGAGCGCCCGCACCCCGAGTGCCTCCTCCTGCCGACCCGCTCGCCGGAGCCTCGCTGCTCCCGTGCCGTAGGCCGGAGCCGCCGCCGACGACCTCTCAGGCTAGCCCAGTCGCCCCGCCTCTCTGCTTCCTTCTCCTTCCCCTTCGGCTTCCCTCTCTAAACTCTTTCTCTCTCGAAGGTGCCTCGCCGCCGCCCCTAGGAGCCTGCCATGACCGCCGCCGTCTGGTCCCGTGCTCCGCCGCCTTGCTGTGAGCTGGCGCCGGATCAGGCCGGGAGACAGGCGGACCCATCCATCCCCGTCGACCCCTGGCCTCCCCTGCTCGCCTACGCCGCCGCCTCGTCTTGGACCGCCGCCGGCGTCCCTGCCATGGCCTCCTCTCCAACGAGCACCTCGACTCGTGCCTCGCTCGACCGCTCGCACGCTCGTTGACCAGCTCCAGCGCGTGGACCGGCCCAGCGCTCCAGCAAGGCCCACTGCTCCATCGACATGTGCCATGGT